GTGACAATCGTGTGTGTCGTGGCTTTAATTTTTGCAGACTTCTGGCACATGCCTCTTCCCACCGTCCATTTCTTCGTTTTTGTTTCCGCATTGCACTCTGCGTCCGTTTTCTCTCGAGCTCCAGGAACTGCTCATTTCCATTTATCTGACTTTGGGAATAGTATATTTTGTGGGAAGGCACACGCGTGCCGTCTTCCCCTGAACTGCTGATGTAACGCCAAGCCAGGGCTCCTGTTCCCACATGCTCTAGAATGTTCTAGAATAACATTGGTCTCTGTCACAGCTGCTCAACTCTGTTGTAGAGAGAGCAGCCACAGGCAGAATGTAAATGAATTGCCATGGCTGTCTGCCAATAAAACTTTATTTGTATTAGAACACGGTGGTGGTAACACCAAGGCCAAGGTTCCGATCCCCATACTGGGCAGCTGCCAAAAAACAAAACAAAACAAAAAAGATAGAAAAACTTTATTCGTGGACACCAAAAATTTGAGTTTCATATAATTTCTTTTTTCTCGTTGTTTATTTACTAGTATTATTTTTTTTACATTCTAAGATGTGGAACAGTTGGGGGTGGGGGAGGGGAAGGGGAAAGGAAATAGGGTGGGAGAAGGAGGAAGGAAGGGGGCAGGTGAGGCCCGTGGCAGCCCCTCATCCTGGCAGGGGAGACCAGCGGGCTTCTGGTGGCAGCTTGGTGGTCATCACTGGGCTGGTTGCAGATGTCTGGGGAGTGGGAGGGGTGCATGGCCGGGTCCCTCGGCCCCTCGTATAATTTCTACATCACAAAATACAATTATTCTTTTGATACTCTCCAACTATCTAAAAATGTGACAACCATTCTTAGCTTACAGGCCATACAAAGGCAGATGGCAGGCTGGATTTGGTCCACGGCCGTGTCTCACTGACCCCTGCTCTAAATTTTTGTCCAAAAGTCACCGTGTGAGGAGAAGTAAAAACAATTGTGCCTTTGGCCAAGTGACCCATTGGGTCCAGCACTTGGTACAACTTCCTGAGTCAAGTGGACAGCTCCGTGGTCAGTATTTTGGGAGCTGATGACAAAGAGTAGATTGCACGAAGACTTTGTGCTAAACGTATGGCCAGAATGAAAGCCTAGAATGTCCAAACCATGGGGAGCATGGATGATCCCATGGGATCATCTGCCCTTTGTGGTGGGACGTCTGCCACTGTGTCATGCTGAACCGTAATGTGTGCAATGGTTCTCTCTGCTCCAGAGGAAGTGGAAGAGTGGCAGGTCATCTGTGGGAAGTTTCTGGCCATCAACGCTGCAAACATGTCGTGTGCTTGTCGCCGGAGCCCCATGGGCCTGTCCCCGGCTGCCCACCTGGGAGATGGGTCTTGCGACCTCATCCTCATCCGGAAATGCTCCCGGTTCAACTTCCTGAGATTTCTCGTCAGGCACACCAACCAGTGCGACCAGGTCAGTGGGATGCTTTCTGCACGTGCTCCGTGTCAGCGAGTGGTTTATACGTGGGCAGTCCCTGATTTATACATTGTGGGAATCCATTATCTAATTCAAAGGAAGGAGAGACACGTTCTCTTGTTTGAATTTCATGAATTTTAAACTCCCAGTCACAGTTACTCCTTGTAGAATTTCATTTAAAATCATAAATCTTTGGGGCCGGCCCGGTGGCGCACTGCTACAGTGTGCCGCTTGGGAGTGCGGCGGTGCTCCCGCTGAGGGTTCGGATCCCACATGCAGACCGGTTCCCGCTCACTGGCTGAGCGAGGTGCAGGCACAGAACCGAGGGTTGCGATCCCGTTGCCGGTCCTGGTCCGGTACGGGCGCAACACTGACGGTTGCGATCCGTTGCCGGACACGAAAAAAGACAAAAAGGAAAAAAAAAAATCATAAATCTTTGAGCACAGGAACTACGAGGCATGAATGATAAACATGTATATAACTTCCTACCTGTCTTTTCTCTTCCTATTTAAAAACAGAGCAGAGTGATTGGGTAAAGTTTTATGTGCTGCCCTCGCAGGTCACTTAAAATAAACTCTTTGGCTCTCAGAAGTGGCTTCCGTTCAGACCCTCCTGCCAAGCTTTCCGTCGCGTGTGGCGTCCTTGAGGTGGTTCACACGAATTAGACCTG